GCCTCTCATGTTTCGTGAAAGATCTTCTTTTTTTTTTTTTTTTTGCATCAGATTTTAATTGCGTATGCAGCTATCTAGCTGACACAATATCAAAGAAAAGTATAGAAAAGATGACTCAATTTACAAGAGGAGCACTCATGCCTCGGATTTCATTTGCAAGTACCACTGCGAAGTTATGGTGGCTTTTTCTTCACCCCAAGTCAACCCTCATCCGTGAATACCCACCCAGGGGAACGTCTCAAAAACCCTGAGTTATCCAGACATGCCTCTGTCATCCATCAACTTTTCTCCGCGCGAAATGTAATCTGAGATGTCTCCTTCCCAAGTGGAGTAGGTGCCCAGGCTACTCAAACCATACCAGAGAACATCACCAGGAGGCGGACCACAACACCTTCCATCGTTTGCTTGTTTTTATAGTGTCAGCTGCACTCTCGCAAGCGAAGTCTTGGCGCGCACAAAGCTCAATTCGTAAAACTCATTGCCAAAATTCAAAATTCCACGCCCGTCGAGAATGTATCCCTCTTCTGCATCATCTTGTGAACTTGTCCTGATCCCTCTCACGTCCATCCCAAAGAGCTATCTCCCAGATTTGTGCTCCACGCTCTGCTTCCTCCGTCGGGTATAAATATCGGCGTGGGCGTGTATTTGGTGACCGGCTGAGGCCAGAGAAAGTCGACGAGAGGTGTGGTCATTGCAACGAGGATGTACTAGGTCGTACTTGTAGACTTGATGAAGCTTAGTTGAGAATCGGACTCTTTGGGAGTGAAAGATTGACATGGTGGAGTAATTTGAAATTTTGCCTCGTGGGCCAACTTCTTTGATATTGCGAAATTTGACTGAACTTGGCTCTGGGAGAATATTTCACTCCCAGGTTCGTAGAGGACACCGCGTACAGGTGTTCAGTCTTGCCCTCCTTCGTGAAAGATCATTGATACATTGCCCGTGACGAATAGCCATTCAGCCGGCTAAGACGAATTCTTCACCTTCCAGTAGTGCCGGTGTAATCACTCAGTATGCTCTGCATATCTGGGATAGCCAAGAAGAATCGCATCCGAATCGAAGTTGAAAGCAACCTCATACACATCTCTATTTGACAACTTCTCGACAATGCTTCTCTCATCATTATCACCTGAGTCCTCAACCCATCTCTATCCATGCATCATCCTGCCTCAACGACCAATAAAAAAGTTGCTCCAATTGCATATAGGAGCTTGCCCCATTAATCTCCAGCTATAACTCACTACAAATCTACGACGCTATTAATACCCGCAAGGAGGAAACCAAGTCGAAAAATACAAAGCCTGGGTCATGGCTTATGGGGGACTGTTGATCTAATGGGACAATCAACTTGAGGAAGAATAGGCGGCTGAGATGTGGAGCGAGAGGGGAAAGAGGTCTCTGAAGAGCATTCTGGGACCGATATTTTCGAGGGGGTTTCAACTTTGGATTTTTTGTAGGCATTTAGACCAAGATTTCGGCTAATTAGCCAGGAGGGCTTCTCTTGTCGATGAGTCAATAGCACTCCCCAGCGCCCCAGACGGTACAAAAGAAGTTGGGCTAAGCTGCCATACAGCAATCACGCTCTGTCGAGACTTTTCTGACATTTCAGCACGACCTTCGGGATGGAGTTGGAAGGAGGCTAGAAAGGCAGAGGGTGAATTCTGCGAGGTACCCACAAGTTTGCAGCGCCCAGCTGGTCGGCCTCCTCGAACGCTTCAGAAGGATCACTGTATCTTCGGATCTAGTCCTATTGTCGATATTATAAGAGCCCTGCACCCAGTGGTTTCTGCGATTTTTCCCGGCTGCCATACACTCGCAAATGGCCATCGCTTCGTTGGCTAGAGAGGGGAGATAATCAAGGGCAGAAGGCTCCTCTAAGTTTATGATCGAATGAGGACTTGTCAGGAGTGGTACTGTTTGAGGGGAGTTGTATGGGAGGCATAGGAGGGGATAAACTACTGGTATAGGTATCCTTGGCCTATAGACAGAGAGGACCTGCATGTCCTACATACTCATAGACTCATCAAGGACAATATGTTTGTTTGTTTTCTATTCTTCGTCCATCGGGGCGCCAAGCATGACTTAAGTCCCTACTACCCACTAAATTAACTAGAGGCATTGACGCCAGTGCTTACTGCCTCTGGAAGGCTCTACTAGCACTTGGCCACTTATGCCAAAATCCTATTATAAGAAATGTTGCCACCACTTAGAAACATTTGATCTATTTGGTATTTTTTTGCATCAGATTTGAATAGCGTATGCAGCTAGCTATGACACAATATCAGAGAAAAATTACAGGATAGATGATTCAATATATAAAAAAAGAGCACTCATGCCTTGTAATTCAATCGCAAGTACTACTACAAAATCATGGCGTCTTTTTCCTCGCCCCAAGTCAACCATCACCCGTGAGTACCAACCCAGAGAAACGTCTTAAAACGACGGCAAAAGCATGATACGGTAGCCAAAGATTTTTCTTGCTTTACCGTTGATGGATATTCATAGTTGAGGAAAGGGTGAAAGTCTCTAGCACAGAGGTCTAGAGTGGTCCGAATGCCAAACCGAGTTATCGTCGCATATAGTTGTCGGGGAGGACTAGCCTTGTGTGCGTTAGGCATAAGTATCTATCTAGCGCCGCCTGTGCATAAAACCTGGCAAATAAATTCATTATGACCACGCCATAGAGAACATTAAGCCCAACATAACGTACAAACCCGGTCCTTGACTCCTAGGAGATATTGAGCATAGCTTAGGACTTTAAAAATATAAAAATAAATCACGTACAAACCTCAGTTGGGACTTGGATTAAATTCTATTCAATTCGTGTCGGAATCAGTGTATTCCAACTTCCTATAGAATATTTGGGAATATCCAATGGTATCCTTCAAATTTGAAAGCATCAAATCACTGGCAAAAATCCGGCACCGAGATGAAGAGAATTGTAAGAAGCAATAAGACTCTTTTTTGGGCTGGTATAATTTGTAAAGAGATAATGAGAGTAATAGAGAATGCTAGTACTTGACGATCGCAGAATAAATTGTTCTATCGGTATCAATACATTGTTTTCTTTGGAGCAGAGACAAACTGAAATGTGATGGGAGAGTTATTTGTATATTAACATGTTGGCAATCGGTAACCTCTGTACTCCTTTGTGAGATTGAAAACGGGTGGGTCCGGCCTGGATCATATTAATTGCCATTACGCACTATAATCTTGTCCCACATGAGTCATCAGACCAGCCCAGGATTCACCCTTGCGTCAAATATGCCAAGACAGACAGTCCCAAAAACCCTAATCGTAACACACTGTAAGGCGAACTTCGTCGCCGACTCAGCCACAAAGCACCCAAGTCCGTCAAATCTTACTATTTTCAGTCGGCTTTAGTCCTGATTTTGGTGATGAAAGGCCCACGACTGCTGCTATTTGCGATTTTCCCGGACTGCCATACACAAGGAGATTGCTATCGTTCCTTTCGATAGAGAGGTGAAAAATGAAGGGCTAAGGTTTCCTCCTAGGGTATGGTCGAATGAGGACTTTTGAGAGATAATAGTAGCTGATGAGAGCTCTATAGGAGGCGTGGGTGAGGATATACTACTAGCTTAAGCATCCATGGCCTATATGCAGAAAGGACCTACATGTTCAATATAGTCTTAGATTGAGAAAAGACAGCAACATTTATAACTACTTCTATTCCCGTCAGTCCATACACTGTCTCATCCAAGGGTCCTTTTCTTCATTGAAAGCCTTTTACAGTCACCCGTTATGTCCTCCTCTGGTTTGCCTCCCATTTGTTCATCTGTTGTGGCGTCTCCGTCCTGACAATTTGTTTTTTTTAAATCAGTTGGGACCTCGGTATTGTCACATACCGTGAATGCCGAATATACTTTAAAATTCCCAAAGCCGAGGCAGCAATGCACTGGCTTTTGTCGAATTGAAAAGCTAGCGAAATTTTGCATCAAGTTCGTCGTTGAAGGCTAGTTGTAGGTTAAGAGCTTGGTGCCCTTGGCTGAGATATATTTACAATTAAGACTGATACCTCGAAAGTGCCATGACAGCGCGTAGCAATTGCGCAGGGTCGGAAAAATCTTGTATCTTATCTTGTGATTATGGCCTTTGTGATTTGGATTGTATCGGTAAGCGATTAGATGGCTGTGGTGAGGGTTGTCAGATGAGTTAGGCTGCATGAGATCTTCCTGGAAAAATAAATCTGGTAAGTATATTCTGTCGCGTGTGGCTCGGGTATTAGACATGCTAGTGCCTAACTGCGGCTCGTGTTGGGAGTCAAGATAATAGAACCCGATAATTTAAGCAGTCGTAAAGTCTTTGCAGATCGGGGTTTCGGCCCCAAACTTGGCAACGTCACTCCTCCTGATCGCCATCTCAATGAAAACACAAAGGTCAGCTCTTTGTTGTGACTGAATCTGGGCTGTGGGATAATATTTCACCTCCACCTTCGCTGAAGATACCACGGATAGGTGCCTAGCCTTTGTCAATCGTGGCTAGGATTGTGTATGGTCGAAGACAAAACATTGGAATAAATGAGAGCATTTGCCTCATAATTTCAAGGGCAACGCTAACTAATTTGAATTATAAGTGGATTTCTGCGAGAGAGTCCAATATATATCTTGTGGTAGAAGATAAGGCGACGCACCGCCAGTCTTTATTTTTCCAAAATTCCTGGACCCACCCTCTAACGCCAATAGAGAGGGCTGCGTTGTCATGTGCGCTCATTCCTTGAACGGCCTTCCCACCATATGAATGCCCACGACGCATTGGACCTATCACCGATTTTGCTCGAGGCTATCCCTAATGAGCTCCGTGTAAAATGTAGCGAATTTGTCCAGTGAATTCTGTAAGTTTCATTCGGCAGCTTGCTCACATCCTCGCTCATGATTATGTCAGGCAAAGGGCTAGATTATTTAAGTATACTCACAGCCTGTCGCTTCTCATAACATCATATAAACTACCCACTTTCCTATGCACCTCTATCTTATCACACTATGGATGTCTCAAACTTTGATATCTTTGCCTCATCGGAATCTGAACAGCATCACTCGCATCTTGGCATCCATGATATCGATGAATGGGAAGAAGAGATGGAAACGAGGAAGCTTGCAGTACCCCATGAACCGAGTCGCAAAATGAAGGCAGCCGCCCATAGTCCCGATTCTAACATGAAAGCTGCTGAGGAAAAGGCATTGCTAGAATTAGGCGCTGTTAACTGGGTCGGACGGCTGCAAGGTTAGTTTGCTCACTCGTCTCGTTGCTTCGATTCGACTTTATTGCATCTATTATTCTGATTAATCGCGTCAGAATATAGAGCCGCCAATGTCAGAGCCGCCCAAAGGCTAGATCTTGAGTTTATCGAAGAATTATCCCATTCAATGCATTTCCCGAGATTTTCATGCACCGTTCTAATTCCGGAACACCCGCGCCCATTTGGCTCCAATCTGAACACACTCTCTTTTGCTTCCAAAAAGCCGGCCAAGCAATACGCGGCGAAAAAGGCAATTGATTGGCTTATAGATAACAATTATATGCCAGATTCTGGCGCCGTCCGCTTTTCCAAGTCCCAAAAGCAATCACTGACTTCTATGTCGCAAGATGCTGCCTCCACGTGTGCTTCTAGAGTACCTAGACTATGTCAAAGGCTCGGCTTCAGTCCTCCACGCTATGTTATTGAGCCTGTCACTCCAGGCAGTTCATTTTATGATGCATATGTCGATTTTGGCAATGATCATCGTGTAAAAGGAGTAATAGGAGAGATTAATAATATCTATGGGAAAAAGAATGCGAAAGAAGAGCTTGCAAAAATAGTGGTCGAGTTCTTGAGAGTTTTTGAGAAAGAACGTTTTGAGCGAATGGATCGAAGGGCAGGGCAGAAACAACTGATGTTGAGACAGTCGGGTTTGCCATAAATTTTTTTCGCAATATATAAATTACATCTGCTACGCGCAGCTATAAATTTCAACTTGTTAGAATTTAAATGAGAAGCACACTCCTATTCTCTCTGTGGTCAAGGGTTATCGAGTCAGAGAAATGATTTCCAGATTGTTTCTGTCAATACTAGTTCCAATATCTTTGTCCCCTGATTACTTGAGAAGTTATCCGTCACTTGGGATATCAGGGCAGAACCATATTGATAGAAGTGGTAGTTAACTATCTAATTGGGTAGTGAGTACTAGGCAAAGTGACAGAACAAGACAAATGGATCTTTAGAATGATTTATTATGGTCACAGTCAATCATTTTTGATGCATAATCAGCGCTCCAGGCACATGTTGGATGTCTTTTTTGACGTTGGAGACAATCATACTCTGGGTTTCATTCACGAATCATACTTTGAGATGTGTTTGCCTACACAGAAGAGCCAAACCTCGCCCATGATTATTCACCAGAGAAGGGTTGAAAACCTTCTATCTCTCTAGAAATGTATTCATTATGGATGCACATGAAAACCACGAGACATCTAGTCGAGTGTTGCTGGGTTTGATCAAGCGATTTTCTTTCTCAAGCAGGAGAGATATCTAAACAACCCACAGCATACCCAAGAGACTGACCCCGGTGATTCGCTCCTGCATCATCCAACCATGAAGGTGTTTAAAGCGGCGCCTACATTTCCGCAAACTTAGATGCGGCGCGCACAGTCTGCGTCAATGTGGAAAGCCCCCCCCCCCCAGATTATAGTGTCTACACGATTTAAGTCTACACCCATCCTTATGATGATTTTATCAATGATTTCTAATTTCTCTCACTGCTATTCCAATATTCTCCGCAGCGATCTATATCCTCTTGTGGTTATTGATATCGTCGCGGGTGTGTGCTGGGAGGATACAGGCCAAGTGAAGGTGAAATGGGGTCTTTGAGATGGGCATATATTAGCTTGTATTGGTAGACTTTACCAGGCCTTGGTCTGAATCTCTCATAGTGTATGTGAAGGAATGAATCATATCCTATTGGGCCAACTTCTGTGTCGCTAAACCCGACTAAAACTAAGCTCTGGGGAAATATAACCCGTATAGAATCGTGAAGGTTACTATCGCTAATGGTTCATCCTGCAATCACATAACAGCTAGCTTGAAACAGACTACGCTGCAATTAACAAGGTCCCTGTCTGGTATAAATGTCCCATCTCCATAGTGGCCCTTTTGCAAATGCACTCCTGACTGTGAGGTCTTGTTCATCGGTTACTTAATCGGCCAAGCTTGACCGGAGCACCATTGGTATCAGGTCATTGATCAATTGAGAGAATTTGGGCGAGGATTCGGCTAGCAAAAATTCCCAAGCACAACATGAATGTTCTGATAGAAAGGAGACGTCCTGATGGAGCTCTTATCACAAAAGAGTAAAGGTACAAAACACTAAGAACTCTACAGTAATTCAGATACTCTTGGATTACAAAAATGGACAAATCAATTTGAACTCAGCCATTATTGACGGCCAAAATAGTAGCTGATAGCTTTCCCAAAAGCAACCCGAAATATCATTCAAATTGTAGAGCAAACCCTTTAAGATCAGGTACAGGATTGTAGTATATTGCTTTAAGATGATTAAGATCAGCCCTAGAAGGCTGAAGGTAAAAGATCTCGTTCGCTGCAGATGGAGTAATAAGCAGGTGGTTTACAACCTAGGATTTAAGAAGTCGAAGCTACAGCTCAAATTTATGGAAGACAAAAACTGAACACCTGTCCGCGATGTTCTCTACAAAACTGGGAGAGAGATATTCTCAGAGCAGAAATAAGTCAAAATTTGCAAGAACAAAGGAACTAGCCCGTGAGACATCTTTCAAGACGCTCCACAAAACCATTCTCTTTCCAAACATGGTCAATTTTTACAAGAGCGTCATCAAGTTTCCAATTATAACCTAGTATATTCTTATTTCAACGACCAAACCTCTCATCGACTCCTCCTCTGGCCTCCATATACACGCCTACTAGAGTTTGTATACCCGACGAAGGAAACAAATCGCTGCACACAAATCTAGCTGGCAGATTTTTGGGATGGATGAGGGAGAGAATATGACAGTAGTTTAAGATGATGTAAAGAATGAATAGAATCTTGACGAGGGTAAGATTTCGAATAGTAGCCAATAGGTTTTCAAATCGAAAAGCAATGTGTGCGTCAAGCTTTTAACTCCAAGAGTGTAGATGGCACTGTAATATCGTTATGATTGGATGGTGCGATGGTACTGACACGGGCTGGCGTTGTATAAATACTCGGATGTTCAGAATAGATAATTGTAGTTGCACAAGAAACGGGACTAATCTACAAGCAGAGATCTAAATCTAAGTATCCTCGCTTAGAGTTACGCCATAATTCTCACGTGATTACGCCCTAACTAGTTGCCCCTGTGACACTACCTCCCCTTTCAACAAGAGCTTCACTCTTGTACCATGAGAAAAAAAAGATAAAGAGAAGCAATTAGATAAAAAGTTAACACTCTCACTTGCGTTTTGGCCATGGCCGTGGTGCTCCTGCTTGTGGAATTTGTTTATGAAACTTCCAGAGTGCGTCATCACACCCCTTTAAATGCGATGCAGCTTCTCATGTTGTGTCGCCTGCAGTCCACTGAACTTGATAGTACCAACGATTATTTTGCATCTTTTCGTATCCTACAATTTTATCGAAGTGATATTCTGCCACATCTCTCTGGCCATCTGTTCTTACAATTGTTCTGCATTCATTTGCTTTTATATCCTCGTCTTCTTGCCCTGGTGCTCGCTCACTCGATCTCAATTGAATGTTAGAGACGTGAAAAGTTGGATTAATATTTATATTTTGCGGTAGATCTACCGTTACGGTGTGTGGCGAGGTTTTTGTGACACGAAATGAACCCTCTCATCTTGGCTTGAGTTTTTCAAGAGGTCGCCCCATTTTCCAGTTCTGAGTGCTTATCACAACCATATCTCTAATATGATATTTTTTTGCGTCCGAATGATGCAAATTTGCATTTTTTTCACAACGGTCTTGAGAAATCTTGGACAAGGTCTTAACATTATCAAGCCTGGCTTTAAATCTATTCGCTACCTCATGAGCCTTAAAATTTTCTTTCCGCTGAGCTTCCAATGGCATTGGGGCTGCTGGTATTTGAGCTTCAATGCCCAACCTTGGATTGTAACCAAAATTGGCAAAGAAAGGACTAACCCCTGTTGTTGAAAATACAGCATTATTCCCCGCGAATTCGGCTACCGGCAGCCACAAAGCCCAGTCATCTTGAGCTCAGTTTACATAAATTCGTGGAAATTGTTCTACTTCAGCATTGACCCGCTCTGTTTGTCCATTCGTTTCTGGGTGATATGCAGAAGAGGGCTTGAGAACAGTTCCCAGTCTTTGGGATAGAGATTTCCAGAATATGGAGATAAATTGAGACCCTCGATCGGAGACAATTCGCTCTGGTGAACCATACAGCGACCAAATTTTTTCGATAAATATTTCGGCCAGCTCCTCTGTGGATAGAGTCTCCGTTGGAAGAAAGTGACGCATTTTTGTAAGTCGATCTACAACAACAGCAATGTGTCGGAATTCTCGATGTCGAACTTCACATTCTGGCAATAGCGATATATAGTCGATGGAAATATCAGACCATGGTTTAAATGGTAATGGTAGTGGTTTTAGCAGACCAGTAGGAGCTTTTCTGGGTGTCTTAGTTTTATTGCAAAGGAGATAGCCTTTGCAAAACTTCATTGCAGCGTCTGTCATACTGGGCCACCAGTACGTTATATTTATTACGTCAATAGTTCTCTCTCTTCCTGGGTGTCCGGCGGCTCCTGAATAGTGTGCTCTGTGAAGTACCTGAAGTTGGATTTCCTCATTGTCTGGTGGGATTACTAGACGGTCTCTATAACAAACGCGTTCAGCTACTATTCGACATTCACTAAATGCGATTTTTAACAGTCTCGCAAGCGAAGGTTTCCAGCGTCTAACGGTAGAATCTGATAGATCAGTTATTATATCTTGCATAATTAAGGAGTTGTTGTATGCGTTCGAGATCAAATCATCGATTGGTTAAGAGACGTCTATTTTGTAAATTTTAATGGATTTCAAATGGGCAAAACTGTGATCAAATTTGGAAGCCGGAATCAAAGGAACGCGCCTTGCGGAAAGGCGGTCATCTAAAATATTCGTCGGAGCATCTTGCGGCCTTCGGCTCAAGGCATCAGCTCGGGTATTCACTGTACCTGGCCGATATAAAAGCTGGAAATTGAATCGGGATAAGAATTACATCCATCGCATTTGCCTTTGATTTAAATCCTTAGTTGTCTGAAAAGTTTGGAGATTTTTATTATCTATTAGTATTTCAAATAGGGATTGTAGTCCTTCTAACTCTGGGCGCCATTCTTCTAGTGATTTGATAACACTGAATAATTCCTTATCATAAATATCATAGTTGCACTCTTGAGCTAAATTTTGGGACGAAAAATATGCCGGCGGTAAAAATTTGCGAGCCCCAAGAATCGTTAGAGTTGTCGTTTTGAAGTTGGAGGTTCCCATTCAGTATAGCTTTGACTTTCTCCTGATCCATCTCAATACCTTCAGGTATAATTATAAGACCAAGGTATTTAGTCTTTGTAGTATAGAAGTCACATTTATCTATATCAATTTGAAGTCCTGCGGCGCGAAGCCGTTTCAGTACCTCTCTAACATGCTTGACATGTTCCTCTATAGAATTTGAAAAAATTATGATATCATCATGGTAGGCTGTGGCATATTTATCTAATACATCGTATAGTATATAGTTAATATACCGTTGAAATGTCGCGGGCGCACCACTTAATCCGAAGGGTGTCACTAGTTGTTCGTAGAGGCCAAAGCGGGTTATTAAGGCTGTCAGCCATTCGTGGCATTCTGCTATCCTGATTCTATTGAAGGCTGAAACAAAGTCAACTTTTGTAAATATATTCGCCCCACAAGTAAAGTCC